ACTGAATCTAACTAGTGGTTAAATACAGCAGGGGAAAATCCAAAAATTTTAATATTACTCTCTCGCTTTGTAAAACAATTCAAAATTATAATGTTCCAGTCACTGCATTTATCAGCAGTGAGTATGTATGAAAACACTGTGGAAAATGTGACACATTTTCTAATGCATGCTAAATCTACTCTGGGTCCACTGGGCAGAATATTTCATACAAATGGCCACAGACCAGGCTCCTTCCTACAAACAGGCAGAAATGTAAAACAGCCAGAGGAAAGGGCAACACATGTGGAGTGATTCAATAGTTTAATGAAGCAAGCAGAGCAGCTATCACAACCACATGGAAATCCTCTTTAATCTTGCATGAGGTATCTGCCGTCAGCATGGAGTCCATGTGCACATAAACCTTGTTAATTCAATACCCACAACGACACTTGGTTTATTCCCACCATTTGCTGCCGGAGTAAATCAGATCATGCCAACGATGTAATAAGATTCCATAGACAATTATTCACCTGGTCTCGCCTGTCAGCTTTGGAGCCCCTGGTCTGGGCCTGCCAGCAAAACACAGAGCCGGGTGTCTCCACCTCCGGCTGCTTGTGACACATCATCATTAAAACCAACATGATGCATTTGAAGAGTCAGCGGGGTCAATGATATTAATTATCTTCAGCATGGATGGAGCAATTATGCACATGGTCACATCTTAATGGGGAGCAGAACAATTCTATTTTCTGACTCATTGAGAAAGGGTGCAACAAAAATGATGGGGGGTGAATTTTACAGAGGTCACGTATGTTTCTGTGTCTTTGGAGCAAAGTTTAAACATGGTGACAGTGAAAGCTGTGGAAGCCACCAATCATGAGAGAGCTACATTTGATTTACAACAGGGATTAGTGAAGATAAATAAATCCACAAAAACATCCATTCCAGGAAGTCTTGATGATGATAAAACTTTATTTCGATAGCACTTATCTAAAAAATATTTAAACCAGTTATAAATCTGGTTTTCCTAGTAAAATGTGTTTTAATCAAAGCCAGGCAATAATAATTAAAAAAAAGAATGAATGTCAATTATAGCACCTTAAAAACACAGTTTAAAGCTGTGTCACAAGTTAAACATGAAAAATTGAAGGCAAACAATGGGAATGACATAAAAGTAATTTGAACACCAAACTGCATTAGAGCACAGATAAATAAAAAAGTGTTACGGACAAGAAAAGAGTGAAAACAAGATTTTTTAAAAACTGTGTAAAATTATAAAAGAAAACAGCAAGTAAGATCAAAACTAGGAGAAAGTATATGAACAAAAATGTTTATTTAAGAGAGATTTAAAAGAGGTTGTGAAACAGATCTCCTCAGTGAGATTGTTCCAAAGAGTGAGAGTCCTGACAGAGAAGGCCATCACTGACGACCTCAGGTTACGACCAGGCACATGTTGCGTCAAAAGATCTGGAATGTACAGAACTGGCCTCAAAAGACACGGATACAACCGTAAAATGTTAAATCTAATGTCCTCAAATGAGGAATTTCACCCATAGTTTCCACCCTTGATTTATAGGAACTAGTAGTAAATGATCGGCAAGATCTTAGATTATCACTTGGAGCAGAGGGAGTAGGAAGAATCTTAGCCAGTGAAGGGAGGCAAGAATTGAAGAGAACTGGACCCTTAAGCTTTGAAATGCACCTAAATTCATTGTGTATAAAACCTGCTCTCCCTTTCTTCACTATCACCATGTGCAATATCTAACTCCTCCACAGGGTAGTGCTGTAGCTCCATGAGACTTTCCATTCACCTTCCTCATCTCCACCAGCTCTAGATTTATTCATTTACCCCTGAGTTGCCTCCTGTACGTTATTAATTTGCTCGAATGGAACAAGCTGGCATTGTTATGTTCGTTCTGCAGCTCTAAGGGTGGCTGGTGCTCACCGGCTGCAGAGAGTCCAGAGCAAACACTGAATTCATGTTGCATCCAAAAACGGCTTTCTACAAAATAGAAAACAGCGTGGTTGAGGTATATCCCCCAGTGTTCATATCCATAACTGTAATTTTGTAATTTCCTCCCTTTATGGCAGGTCTGACACATCCTGTGACGACCTGCATGTGGGAGAGATGCTTGATGCTGTTGCATGTAGCAGAGGCTATTTATGTTCCTACAAATCAGCCCACACAAACCACAAGGCGATGCATGGAACAAGGTGAAAGCAGCATACTCTGCCGCCTGTATAAAACTCTTCCACGGCTATAAGACAAACACCCCGAAGTGAAATGTTATCCTGTTTACACTCCACATGCCAGCCTAATAAATCAAGAAGGGAAGTCAAAAGCTATTCCTAATGGGAGATGCATGGCTCTGTGTTCCCGGAGCCTCTACAGGTGGAGGAGGTGTTTGGCCTGACAACCTTATTTGGGCTTAACAACTAGTTAAAATCAATACGTGATTAGTCAGCAAAACAAAGGATTTTGCTGTAAAAGCTTGGATCTTGGGAGGATCTCTGAACTTAGAGGGCAAGTGCATCCTTTGCTCTCAGCTGGCCTGCCTGTCCAGTGACCGAGGCGCCGTTATCGACAGCAACTCCTGCCCTCGTCCATGAGCCTTCATCGGCTACTCCAAATATTCTGCATTCAGGAAAGGAAGGGTGCATTGATTTTATGTAACATGGCTCGTTAAGTACTGATTAGACCATTATAGTGATGTGATTTCAGGGAATGGGTTTGGGTGACAGGCAGCCAAAGACAAATCAAAAGGAACTAACAATCCTTACACTGAGGGAGATTTGGGCGAGAGCACCACTTCACCTACAATTCTCCAGTTAAAACCAGAACACTGTGCTCGGGTTCGATTTATATCTAATGGGCCAGCTTCAGAAAATCTGAAGACTCAAGAAAATAATGAAATAAAATAATGTCAACAGAGCTCAGGAATGTTGGGGAATGATGATGTTCAGCCATCATAGAATAATCGAAATATTATACAAATGGATTTAATTGTGCTATAGTTCTGAAATGATTATTTCATTAATTCAGCAGAAAATCAACTTGAAGAAGAACACAAAACCTTGCCATGGCCCAACGCCCAACGCCCTTCAATTTAACCAGGATGCACCAAATTTCACACACTTGTAAATATTTATTACATTATTACTTTCATTAAGATCCATGAATTATTAAGTATAAGTGTAAAAAATAAATATTGATGATTTACACTTTGTTTTCCTGGTTTAAACATTGTATGTAATCTGTCCTGTATCCCGGGGTTTTTATATCTTTTCAATAAAACCACCTTAAACAGAGTTTGTCTCATTTTTATCTTATTTAATTTCCAATCAATTCCATAAGGTTGAGTTCTAAAAAACATGAATTAAACTTGTTTGATTCAATTATTTTAGTTCAGCATTGCAATGTAACTCAGTAACATTAAATTGCATGAATGAACCTAGTCTGAACTATACAAACACTATTAAATCATACTGTATGGATGTACTTATTTTGAGTTGGGGCTACATATATTTACTGGATGTAAATCCTGCCCACAATTTAATTGAGTTCATCCAATTGGTTATGTTTTTAATCGCATACTAAACTGAGTGTTGGTTTATATTTGGGTTTTGCTGGTGAGACATTAACATTTCACATTTTAAAATCGTTTTAGAGCTTGATTCATTGATCTATTTTAAAACTCATTTACTAATAATGAATAAAAATGATTAGCCACATTTCTAATTCATGCAGGGACGTTTGCAGAGCGTCTGATGAAAGCCACGTGAAGAGAAACCTGAAATTATAATGGGAAATAAAAAAAAGTGCTTGACATCAGGTGTGACTTCTCTTCTCCTGGACGGACGAGAATAAATTAAAGATATTTAAGAAAAGTTAAGGCAGTTCTCTCCTGAAGGGTTTTCCCCTCGGGGTACGGCCATACTTTAATTATCATATTTATCTTTTTCTTTTATTCAGCACATTTTTATTCTAAGTGTTCTCACTGAAGTGAATTGTGATGGACTGTACAGTTTCTTCTGTTTCTTTCTACCACTCCAGTGTAATTTAAACTATAAATGCTGATTCTTAGTCGAACTTGTCAAGTTCCTGCAGAGCTGAATAAAATCTTCTCTTTGCACTCGCACCGCAATGTGGTTTAATCCCTGATTACTCTATTGTTCTCACTGCAATGCGATAAATGTCTGTGACTTACAGTGCTGCTCTTTATGAGTAATTGTTGTACTCAGTAACAGTGTAACCATCGAATCAGTATCTGACGTATGTAATTTGGAGGCAACAATCCTGCAGCAGTGATGGTGGTGAATACTGCGTGTTGAGCTGGAGTAAAATATGAATTTATCATAATTTAAGATTCAAACGAGACAAATACTCTATCTTTCTATCTATCAACCTTTCTATTTATCAACCTATCTATCTATCAACCTATCTATCTATCTATCTATCTATCTATGTATCTATGTATCTATCCATCTATCTATCTATCTTTCTATCTATCTAACAGTTTAACACCTGAACTTGTTCCTCTCTATTCTTTCGCTGAACGTGTCAGCAAAGACATGACTCTCCTGAGGAGGCTAAGAATAGAGGAGCAGAGCGGTAATATCAAAACACGGAACCTCATCACACTGTGTTATTCTCATCCGCAGACATTGGTCACGCTCAAATTAAACAATTCATTCTCATCAACACTTTACAGAAAGCGAGGAAACAGCGAGGCCCCGATTTTCCGTCTGCAGGTTCTTTCATTTGACTTCCAATAAGGACGTGTCTCCCTCGTCCTCATTTACCTAAATGTTAATCTCAAGTGTGATGCAGGGATTTTAGTTTTTATCTAGGTCATCCCAGATACAACTGGAATTCATTTTCACACCTTGTGGGATGTACAGTATGAGGAATGTGTCTGCGAGAAACATGCAGCATTTGTTGTATTTGTTTTTTGTCTGACTACATGTTGTCATAGTGTGAAATATTAAAATGGAACCCATTGTATAGAAAACACCTCAAAGCCATGGAAACAGTATTTTGTCAGTCTGGGTCTACGAATGAGACGACTTTCGTATATTTCCAGGGAGGTTTTGAAAGGGAAACGCCTGCTGTGGTTTTTTTTATGATCTATAGCTCCACCTGAAGGCAGAACAACTCTTTTGGACATTTTTAGCTCCCTAACGTCGCTGCAACCTGCTGTGACTTCACCTCATCTGCACCCAAAGACAGCGCCTTAATTTTGAGGAATAGTTCAGGCAAGACTTTTTAATCTCCCAAAGAAAAAATATGCATTTGTGCAAATATATTCTTTCCATATATGGAAGTAAAATAGTGAACTGCAAAAAGGAATAAGAACTAGAAAATGTAAAAAACTCAAACATTTTATTTTTTTTATTTTGAGACCAACTCAACTCAATCGAGTGAAAAAAATCATTAGTTGTACCAACAGATTTTTTGTCCTTTGTGATTGTTGTCTTCTATGCTTATGTTTGTATTGTAAGTTCTGTTTTTTTCTGTGTGAAGTAAATGAGTTGGCACAAACTTGAGACTTCTAACAATAGTGTCACTACTCCCCCGGGCAGGCTCCAGACATCTCTCACCATGAACAGTTTACTTTGCCAC